TTTTGCAAACTATCGGCACCTCTATCCGCACGATATGGGTACAAATGAAGCGATTCCTTATTACTCATTTCCTTTTCCGCACGTTCATTTCCTACTTTAAATGCGGTCGTTAAAGGCGTTCACATCCTTCTTTTTTGGGTTATTAGTTTAAACTAATTGAAAGCACTTCGACTCCTTATGGACGGATAGACGATAGGAAGATGGTAACACTGATTCACTTCAAGTATCAAGTGGAAGAAACTGTAGATATAAAACCGAATTCAGATTATTAACGTAAAAGTTTAAATTATGAAAAATGCCTAGGATGTTAGTCGGATCTAACCCCTCTTTGGGGTAAAGGCGAATGTTGGTTTAATCTTGTGACACAGTTTATTTTCCAATGTAGAATAGTTTTATGATTTAATAAATATATTTGATTTTAACTTCTTCGGCAACGTTTGGCAATCCCAACAATGTTTGTGACTTTGACGATGGTTCGGTGTCAGGCGCGTCCACATCACATGGACGATGCGCTTTCATTGGTCGTCTTCCCCTGCGAAGAGGGTTAAGGCGGGGGAGAGGAGGGGAGGGGAGAAAAGATGAGGAGCAGTGGAATGCAAAGTGACGTGAATTCGCTCACTATTTAAATAATTATCATTAGGACAGAAGGTCACTATGGTAACAGAACACTTATACAATGGCAAAGAAAACCAGAGTTGAAGGGATGATAACTAAATTTGCTACATTTATCCCATCTGTGGTCAAGATGGTGGGCATGAAACCGCACCGAAATTCCCTCGATAAGGTATTGTATTCGGTCGCGTTCTCCTTAATGATCATTTGTTTCGGACAGAATTCTACTGTCTGGTTCTGGACGGGTGGTCAACAGAAAATCATTTACACGATTCTTTTCCTTGGATCAAACGCAACCGCCGATCCAGTTGCAGCTGCTGAAGAGACAAAGCACAGTAAATTGGTCTCATGGTAGATGGCGACTGGCGTGGATGCCCCGTGGGTGTGTCCCAGCAACACTGGACTTGCTGTAGTAGCTGGCTGGGGAGGTGCACCAAGGGGAGCTCCTTGAACATTTATAAAATAGTAAAGGGCAGTAAAACCTTGTTTGTGCTACCACCTGATGTCTGGCGGTTACTTTGGTATTCGTTTTGCTCCTGTACGCGTGGAGTGGCCTTCGGGCTAAGTCAAAATCCAGTTCCTTCTTCTCCTCTTTTAAAACATATGGATTTAGCTCAACTTAATGCCTCCTTCTACCTAGGAGGAAGCCTCGGACACTACAGCAGCTAGCTAGTAAATGTGCCTAAAAACAGTACATAACTCCTTATTAAAATATCAGTCCGCAAACACCTCGTCGTGCCATTGAATTTTGGCTTAAACAGACTTATTCTTTAAAAAACTAGGAGTAGGCAAACTATCAGTCCCCATTCTCTAAAATGCTTTAGAAAATCTTGAAAAAATAAATTTTTTTGTAAGGTGTCCATCCAATTTCTTATCAGTCATTTTCTATCCATAAAACTTATTCCCTCTCCTCATCAGCTTTACGAATTTCCTCTCCATTAGAAATCCTTTTTTTTATCAAAATTAATTTGGTTGTAGCAAGGTGTGAGGCGAGAGGGGAGGTAGTGCAGAATGACCACCGAGGCCACAGAAACTGCGCATCGCCTCCAAATTCCACCAATCGGAACGCGCCAACTGGACGATAAGCCAACAGCCTTAGGCATTGGCGGCTATAAGGGCACTTTTCCAAAAGCGTTAACAATGTACTACGACTGTCTGCGGACCTCCATTGCAGAGCCTAACAATGATGAGTGGAGTAGAGGTGAGGCTTTTCCCAAATACTTTTCCAACAGTTGTGATGACCATGAAGATAATAAAACGCCGTACACAACATTTACAAATGATTGCACGGATGGTGAGTGCTTGTCTGTCTGTTTTGTGAAATCAGATTGTTGTTATACTTGTATGAAAGTTGGTTCAAAGTGAAACAATTCGTGTAGTGTGTAATGACCGAATGTTTGAAAACATAACATGTAAAGTTGGGCTACAAGAAAGGCATTAAAGTGTTCAAACTTTTGTCTACTCACTTAATTAAACACTTCCTAGCGCATCCCTCTGCTACAATTTTTTTTTGTATTTTAGTTAGTCTCCTAGACGAGCGTGTTTACTCCAGCTATCCGCAGTCAAGACCGCCCAAAGCCAAGGCCAACCACGAGGACACGGTAACCCAACGCTTTCTCGCAAACGTTCGTGAACGCCAAAGAACACAGTCGTTAAATAAGGCGTTTGCAGAACTGCGACACATCATTCCCACTTTGCCCTCGGACAAACTTAGCAAAATTCAGACACTTCGTTTGGCAACGCAGTACGTTCTGCTGTGATGTCTGTAGAATAATAAAATTCCACATTCAACTTGCTTTTTTAGTGTTCACAGTTTTTGACCCTCCTATAGTCTAAAAGGCGTTTGTATCCTACGTTCTCCTCCTCCTCCTCCTCCTTCTAGGTACATCGATTTTCTGTCAAAACTTCTCAAAGATTCGCATCATCTTCCCGACTCCAGAGCAGCAGAACTCAACATGTCTACAGACACCGCAGAACCTCGAATGCTCCGAGAGGCATCAACAAGTGCATGGACGAAGGAGAGAGGTGTGGTACCACCATCGGCCACAATTCTTACAGACGCCTGTCCAGATGTCAGACCTCCCCGAGAAGCCCACAATGTGCGTTTCAGTCAAGCTCTCTCCCTCTGGAGGGCAAAAAATGCATGACATTTCATTTCTTCATCCCCACTGAATGTCTCCTCTTCCAGTGAGACCTCCATTTTTCTTCTTGTAATTCGATGCGTATTGCTTTGAAATGTGTTAAATTTCAATAAATATCGATTGTTCATACATTGTTTTGACAATTTGAAGCGTTGAAGCGATGAGCGGTGGGTTGAAATGTTTCACAGTGTTTATAAAATACGCTGTTGCGTCAATTTTTTGTGGGAAGTGAGAGTGATCACGCAAAATCTCACCTACAAGTCCCTCCAATGCATCAATCTTGGTCTTTAAATTTGTATAAATTTTAGCACATTAAAAAAAACTCGTTTTGTGTTTGACGTTGAAGTCCTTTTTTGTTTGCATTATTCAGTTAGAAGACATGAGGAGGTAACTCGGTACTTGGAAAGCCAACAAGCCAACGATGTGAGTGAAGATTTGGGGATAAAATTAAGCCCTGTTGTCCCAAGTTAAGGCGAGACTTGTGTGCACACATTTTTGAGAGCTTTTTTTCTACCTTTGGAGTGGTCTGAAATCGCCACTTTCCAAAATGACCCACCTCAACTTAATAACATAGGCTGCATTGGAAACGGAAGAACCGTCGGATGAAATGCGGTCTGGTGGTGGAGAAATGGAGCCTTCCTGTGGAGATACTGACAATTCCACAGTAGTGAGAAAGGCAAGTGAGTTGCGAACTCAGGAACGCGGCCTACAGGTTAATGTCACTTCACCAGGCATAGACGAGGGGATTCAGGTAATTCACATTGTTGGAGTTATGCTATGAAAAAGAAATAACAAATTTGTATTACGTCCATTGCATTGGTTTGAAAGTTACTTTGTGACAGTACCTTCTGACCTCTTTGTTTTACCTCTTTTCAAATAGCTTTCAATCTTGGATTTAGATGTGATTCGCATTGTTGCACTCTTTTGCATTATTTCCAAGGCTACTGTTATGGATGGTGACAGGTTTGTTGAGAGAATAACCAATCCCAGCCCTTCACTGCCATCCTCAATCCACCTCTGTCCACCCGTTAAACGCCACAAGAATCCACATTCGTACAAACAGAGGGAGCATTGTGCCTACCTGAAAGAGGCGCTCTTTCTAAGTCGTAAGTACTCGTTTTTGATTCTCGGATCAGTTAAATGCTTTATTTGCTTCATAATTAATGCAGAATTGGTGGTGAGACGTGTACGCATAAAGTGTTGCGAGAATTTTGCCACTCCACAGCCATGCGTAACTCTCAGGTGTTAAAGCATAAGCACCAGAGATTGGAAACAAATCTTTTCTAAAAAATTATCTAGGCGTAAATGTAAAAACACAAACAAAGAGCCCAGTAATCGCATTTCTTCTCACTAATCGTAGGTCTTCTCAATCAGTCAGACGCTCGATGGACTAACGGCTACAGAACCCGATTCCCAGATGACTAGGCCATTTCTCTGCTGAGCTCATGACAATAAATTCACCTCCACTTTTGATAAAAAAAAACCTCCTCTCCCTGTGCCTTACCTAATGTTTGTGTCAAAATAAAGCCGAATTGGGTTCTCCTTTTTTGTCCACTAAGAAAGACTTTTACTTTAAACGTTTTACTATGATGAAGTTGATTAAATCTTCCTACTTTGTTCAAAGTTGACAACACATTGAAAATCGATAAATTTGAATATTTGAATATCCGGTGTATCAAAACACAGTTAAGGTAGATATTTGCGATCGGTGAGTTCAGTGCGTGGAAATTCGAATCTCACTTGTGCACACTTTTGCATTAGTTTAGCAGACCTTCGTAAATTAGGTGGCTTGGAATTTGAAAGGTCACATTTTTTTCAAAGCTGCAATACTTTGACCATTTTAGTTGAGTTGAAAGACGCTAGTTGACACCTTATATTAAAAGTCTACGCGATGAGAATATCATAGGGGAAAGTTGCGTGTAAAGTCAAACAGCAAGGTAATTACAGGTAATTTTAACCTAAATTTCGAAATTCGTAATTTTACACTTTACTACTGACAAATTTATCAGTAACTCGTCTAAATATTTAAAGAATGGTGGTGCGCAACTACCATGACTGACTTCCTTTAGTCTGGTTGAACAAGTGGTGGAAGGCATAAATTATCCCTTCTAACGTGTTTGGACGCCCTCTACACCTCATCCATCCTCGTTTTAGCATTTGCCTGCTATCTTCCAAAATCATTATAATGGAGGATTCGGCAGAACCCAGTGTAGACAGTCAAACCCATCCAAGTGAATCGATGGAACTGCATGATGTAGGTGCAAGCATTGAGCTTTGGCTGTCCTTCGAACATTCATTCGAGGTTGCATAATTAATTCTGACTTTCATTCCTTGTTACACCATCCCAAATCAGTTCCAAGCCTACTTCAAAACATAATTTTGCATCAATAAGACCTTTTTCCGGTGTGATTCCATTTCATTCATTCCAAAAATGATGCTGTGTTTAAAGGAGGAACTTTTGTCCAAGGAAAAACCATTTGGAGATTTCCTAAAGGCCTTTAATTCGCTAAAACTCGAAAGCGATGATGTTGCCAAGAGTGTCGATGAGACCGGTGATCTCAGCAATGCTCCTGTTCGGAGTATGTACCGAGAACAATTAGAATCGGCCATTAATAGGCTGGGCTTAACCATGGATGACTACCTACAAGTACGTCGCATCATTTGAGAAACGTCTACAATTCATAATTCATAATTACGCACCTTTTCGACTCGTTCAAAACATTTTTAAGACTCGGCTCTATCCTCCATTTCAAAGAGGTCATCTGTTTATTAACTTCTTTCAGTCTTTTTTAAAAAATTGTCTACTTGACCAATGCAAATGTTAGTTGAAAGTTAGTTACTTGAACAGCGCTCCCATGGCTGACGAAAGATAGGCTGTGCTTTGATTTGAGTTAATGTTGATGTCCACTTCCGGTAATTTAACCTCTTGGATGGACGAAAAGGTCGGTGGTGTCTCTCCCGTTGCTGATAATTTTGTGTTTAAGGCACAATCGGTGTGGTCTGGGGATGCAGCACCGGACGAGAAGGCGGATGCCGATGAATCCACCATTGAACAGGAGTTTGCTAAGCTTGGGCTAAGTGATAAGGAGATTGAGGATGTGAACAAAGCGGCCTCATCACAAATGGGCACGTGACCCATGCTTGCTTACTGCTCCATTTCCAACTGATTGACTTTTCCTTTTAAGCATTGCTCTTAAGTTCTTCCTCTTAATTCTAGAAAAGGTGAGGATGAAGGAGTCTTTAACGAAAAAAAGAGATCTATTGGCGCAACTCTTGAGTACCAATTTCGATGCTATCTCCTCTGAGGTGGGAATTTGTGGTGCACGTTTGTTTAATTGAAAAAAAAATGTGATTTAACAGAGTTATCTTTGGATGACTGTGCTTTTCTGTTTAAAATAGCAAGGCAAATATCAGGAGATTTTAGAAGACATAAGAAGGGATACGGAGTACATTCAGGAGATACCAAAATGGCAAATAGAGATGCAGAAGCGTTTGGAGATGCTGAAGCAAATGAGAAAGGTTAGTTTTTCTAATCCAATTTCATTGGCATTGCATTGGAATCTGAAAGGACATTGAAGATGATTTCCGTAAAAGGAAGGAAGAAGGAATCAACGAATATATGGACCTAGAAAGTGAAATAAAGGTAAATAGGAAGTAATATGGACTTTGTCCACTGTCTAGCGTCGTGTTGCCGAGTTAAGCGCATCCTATCAACAAGAAACTAACCAATCAGAAGCGTTGGAAAAAAGTCCGACTCTTCCCACTGACGATGACGAGGGAGGGGAAAATGCTTAGTAGGCGGCGCTTTTAACCATCTCACACTGTCAATTATGCCATTAAAACACAGGAAATTTACCTCTCCTTTGTAGGACACTGAATACAAATCGATCTTCAAAGCCGCTTTCTTCTTAAAATAAAGTGGTAGCCTAAAAATTCTCGATATTTTCTCTTCGTATCCTAAAATCAAACCAAAGTGGACTATAATAACGTTGCAAATGGGTAACTTATCAACCTACAAGAAGAAGTAAGCTAGCTTTGAAGACGTCTAATAGAAATTGGCGTACACAATGCCCTACCGTCAGTGTTAAGGGAAACAGATCTTCTAGCCTCACTAACTTCTTTTGAATGGTCATCTAACATTTGACGCTTTGTAGCACCCACTATGTTCTGCAAGTTCCTCTTGTTCATTCTGCATCGGTGACATTTCCGCCCAGCCCAAAACCCAATCATATCGAAGGTAAAAGTTTCCGATGTAGCTACTTATTTCTTTTGTTAGTAGGTAATACGCTGAAATCCAATCACTCTGACATATTAGGTCAGAACCAGCAGATTGCAAGAGGATGGCACAAAAAATGAGGATGTGTAAATATTGGCTTTTCTATTATCCACGTTTAAGGTCATAGTTTAAACGCCAAAAATATCAAAGTTAGGGAATATGATTATAAGGGTTGTCTTGACTTGTCAATCAACAGAAGTGCGAATAAGTATTGTAAAATTTAAATAGTGAGACTTATGTAATAACTAGTTCTTAAGGGAAACACAAAGACGAAATAAAGTAATAGCAAAGTGAGATGTGGATAAAGAGTAGATCACAAATGGGTGAACAGCGCGTGGAGAGCACTAAGTGGTCACAGTTTTGACGGTGCTTTCGGTGAAACCGAATATTCTGCAGCATCCTCTACGTTGAAGATCCTACAATGAAAATCAAATTCGTCAACGAGTCCCCAATCGACCTTTTAAAGTTGAGATTGTCTCCTATTTTCTACCTAAGCTATCACAATGGCTATTCTATGATAGGATTTTTTAGTTATGTAGAGATCTGTGAGTCTCGATTATAAACAAAGCTTCAAAAAAATGGTTCGCTTAATTTTCCATTTGTAATAATGTGCAAGGTGGGCATTCCTATTACACAAAGATTTGTGTTTTACACCTGCTCGAATGCCAGATTGACAGAGAAAGCCCGTGTCAACTGTGACGGTAGAGGTTGTTTGAGGTGGGGGCAGTGCAACTCCAGTTTTTTGAGCCTCAGTGAACAATTCTGGTGTAGCGAAAGGGGTGACACTCCGCAGATGCATTAAAAGAGGCGCATAGAGGGCATCAGAGCCCGGCAAGAGATGGTAAGAATTGACATGACCACTGAAGCCGACATTGTTGTTCCAATTCAGGGGTGGTTGTGTGATTGGATAGCTGACAAAGTCCAAAACCTCCGCTGACGTTGCACGTGAGAGTTGAACGTTTGTTTGAGCTCCTGTTGCAGCGTTTGTAATGGTCTGACCCTGCTTGTTCGCCATCACCATTTGAACAGCCTGATCTGAGATAAAGCGTACGAAGGCTTCTCCCGACGGTTCACCCTTTGAGCAATCCACAAAAAGGAAAAACAAACACCTACATGTGAGGCTAAATTAAATTACATTCTTAGTACTAAAGGAAGGAGGTGGTTCATAAAGTGATGCGCGACCCCAGAAGTGTCCTCCAAAAACGCCCCTTTATACATTTGATTGCCTGCGTCGGAATTTCTGAAGCTGCGACACAATCCTCCCACCATATTCACAGTCTTCTAATTCCGCTTTTAGCAAGCGCCCACTCCTCTTTCAAACTGCTTCATGTGCAAGGCTCCCAAATGGGCACAAATGCACAAAGTGGCGTCTTTGTAAGGGATTCCCTGTCAAAGTGGAGGCAGACATGTTTTGCCAGATGGTCGGAAGAGAGTGCATGGGAACGGAAAAGGATTGCATTAACCTATAAATTGAGTGTATCCACAGTTCGGCAAGGTGACATTTTCAGTCTCCAGTACCACCTCTCAAACGACCTCCATAAAATGTCTAGTTTGTATGGGCTGAAACTCCTGTCCCCAGTAGACAGCAGATAATCCTTTCGAGACCAACTAGCCATTACCGGCTCAAACCTGCTACTCCAGCAAAATCCCAACCGTCTACTCCTACTCCTCTCCATGAAAGTTTACCTCTGCTCCTGTTACCATCTTTGACCTTGTAAAAGGGCAAACAAGAAGTCCCTATTCATTCTAAAAGCCTTTAGCACAATTGTCGGCCTCATAATTTTGTGTCAGGAATGCGTGTAATTAAATGTATGCACCGATTAATTGGACGATCATCATGATTTAAGTCGCATGAATAAGGCTGCCATAGACACTAGCAATTATTTAAGTTTGTTGGAAGCAAAATGTGCTTTTACCTCTTTCGTCATTTACATTTGAACCAAATGCAAAATTTGGCATTTTTTTTTGTTCAGGCAAGGCCTTTACCGTGGCAGTATAAATTAGGTGGATTCCGTGTAGATTTACAGCCTGCCAGTAGACACCCAAGAAGTTCAAGATGTCATTGACTGTCGTTCCCGGCGGCATGCCCTTCATTCGCATCAGATGACTTGTTGAAATGTGTGAAGGGCTTAGAGCTCCGGGTAGAAGACCACCGAGAGAAGTTAGCGTGGGCATAGTCAGGGGTGGCAAATTCAGTAGAGGCATTTGGAAAGTGGGACTTGGTAGAAGGAGACCTTTTGGAGCACCTCTAAACGTAGGTGGATTGTGAAATGCCAAGGGGGTGGCAGTCTGTGAGAAAAAAATCTCCTGTTCATGTGTTGAAGGCCACATTCGAGGAAAGATGTCCACTGATTGTGTTAGAACCGCGTTCATAACCTGGAATTGTTAGTTGAAATACAATATGATTACTTGAAAGACCAAGTAGATGCTACAGGATTGGAGGCCTCCAAAGTCGTCAACCCACCTGATTGACCTCAGCCGGTGTGGATCTAAACAGCTCAATGTACCGATTGCCAATGTGTTGCCGATGATTTGTGAGAGCTCTTTCCGCTTCTGTGTCTGTTGCAAACATGACAAATGCGTCACCAGTGGCTCTACCATCTCTGCGGTTGACAAAGAGAATGCCCTCCCTCCCGAATTGCACTTGGCAGTCGACTTTTGCAAAAAAGGCGATCTTCAAAGAGTGGAATATGGAGACACACGCTTAAAACAAATTAACAACATACACAGATGGGAATGATAAAAGAAGGTCCAGTTCAAGACACCCTTTCCCAGCAGAATCTACGAAGCCACCCAATAACCAGAAGTGCTCAAAGTGAATGTGTTGGAAAATTACTGTAAAATGAAGTTGGAATTACCTTCTACTAATAGTTAAATTTTATAAAATTTTTATAGAAATTAAATGTATTGCATTTGAATATGTCGTATCAACTTCATGAACTCCACCGCGTCACTCATTATTCGCTATTAACGGCGCATCTCTCTATGGCTGGTTTAAAAGACAAGCAGAATTGGGAGGAAGGGCAAAACACCTGTGCACACTTGCACACACACACACACACACACACAACCCGACCACAAGTCTAAAAATCAGCCGCTTGCCGTGTCAACGCTCACCTTCATCCCAGACTTGGGCATACTTTACACTTCTCCGCCCCTTCAACGAAAAAGTGAACAAATTGGTAAGTGACAAGTAAATACGAAATGTTTGAAAAGAAACGGGACCAAAGTAGCAAAGTCACACACTACTTCCTTTTTCAATTTTTTGGTGATAACGTCACCACGTCAAAGGTGAAGTAGAAATAAATGTCATTTTTTTGGGGGAGAATGACGTATATTGAAGTGATAATGCTTAAAAATGACAGCAGAGGGAAAAGCGTTGGGACCTCGTCTGGAGAGATTCATCACTCTGTCATGACACCTCTGTACCAAGTCAGTCAGTCCAAAAATAGTAAACTATTTCAGTGCGACAATGCTTTGACGCATCCACCCAGGACGACATTTTGGGGGAGGAGGCGGGGGGAAGGAACGAATTCTGAGAAGTGCCATGTCAAAAGTCAACTTGATTTTAACAAAATAACCCTCATTAAGCAGTTGTGAAGTTACTCAAAAAGTGGGACCAACTACAAAGAACCCTGAAGGTTTCAATAGCCACGACTAAGTTTAAACATGTTAAAAATGAATGCTGAGAGAATGTCGGTTGTAAAAAAATTTAAAAAAAATAAAAACTTATGCAAACAAAAGTTGACACAAGCGGTTGAAGGAAGTTCAGCCTATTTTTGTGCCGATTATTGAAACGGTACGTAAAAAAACTGGCTATCAAGTCACTAGAGAAGTTTTGTGCGGTTTTTGATGTGTCTCGTCACAATGAATTTGTAAAAGTTGCATTGTGAAGCATAAATTGCACTTTATTTGTTCAAGGTTAACAAAAGGTACTATATTTTAGCAAAAATTTACTCATTTTGAGGTGCTTAAGACCACACAACCACAAAGACGCATAGCTGTGGGTGGAGGAGCTTTGCCTGCAGCTTCCATCATCGCGTGCCTTATGGAATGGGCAATCATCCATCTGTCATAAAATGTTGAAAATGATTTAGTTTGATTTTTGATAGTGATGATGATGGTGTTAGTGATGATGGTGGTGAATGGTAAAGATGACAGAAGTCTCTCCCGTTCCTAACAGAAATGGGGAATTATATGTTCGCCCTTGTACGTGTAAGCTGCTTTTCAGAACAAGCAAAAGTCCGATGCTTTCAGCTACTTGATGCCTTATACGTGGTGGGAAGTCTTGAGACACTGCATTACCAACTGCTGGTATGACGCAAGATGTTTACGAATTGAGGTTGAAAAGCAATTTAGTGGTATCAAATGAGC